AAATGTTAGAGAGAGAAAGAGTCAGAGAAAGAGAGGAAGAGTCAAAGAGAGAAAGAGTCAGAGAGAAAAAGAGTCACAGAGAGAAAGAGCCAGAGACAGAGTAAGAGAGAGAGAGAGAAAACAAACGGTAAAAGAAGAAAGTAGCGCTCGCGCATACATATTCGAACAATGGCCCGCCGCGATGTTTCGTGACCAATCGCGCACGAGCGGCCGCGTCAAGACGTTCGAACTACTAGACGAAATCGGCGATGTTCTCCTACTGCTTAATATTACAGGTAAACGACTAGTTCGTCGATAGTCCAGTTATTATTATTATTATTATTAGTAGTAGTAGTATTATTTCCCTTGTTTTCCTTCTTTCCTTTAATCCTCAACTCGAACAAAGATTGATTATTCAACGGCGAATCAGACTATCGACCGTATCGCTTTCTTCCCCTATTTTTCTTTCGCTTCGTGTAAATAGTTTACAAGAGGGTACGATCGGGGCCGATAATAGATTCTCTCTTTTTTCCTTCCTCTTTTCACGGATAGACAGATCGACAGATTTCAGAATATAACGGTACGCAAGCGTTCGTGATCACCTTTCGCTCGGTCGACGATGAACAGCTCAAACGACCAGCTTCCCGTAACTCCTCCGACCAACCCTCAAACCCCCTCGTTACGATCCCTGTTTTCCCTGAATCTGCTTCAACTCGTCGATCGCGAGATGCTCGCTTCGCGGATCGTGCTTCTTTTTTGATCGCTCTTTGGTAACATGCTCGCGCGAGCTCCGCCGTCGCGGCATCTCGCGATTGTCACGGATCGGCAAAGAAATCTACGGTGATAAGACTCGTGCGCGCTTCCGCGGCGCTCGAATGGGAATGTCTCGAGAAAATGCGGAAAAGGAAACAGCGGAGACAGAGAGATAAAGATAGAAGCGCAGGGAGAGAGAGAGAGAGAGAGGGACAGCGAGAAAGGGATAGAGAAACAAGTTAGAACAAGCGAAACCGGCCGGGAAGAGGAGAACAGAGGGAACCGTGTAATCGCGGACAATCGGTTGCAAGGGACGTTGATCCTTTGTCGGTAACGATTGATCGAGTTCACCAGGTGATAATCTCATTTGTGCGATGCTTTAGATCCTCCCTGGTATTCTGTCGAGGGAATACGGTCGGATCCGAGGAAAGCTGATTATCTTTACACGTCGAGATCGGATCGTTGTACTCTCTTGCGTTCTCTTCTCGTTGATTGTCGTGTTTCGCGTCCCGAGACCGCGCGACCACCCGACTTCTCGTCTCTTCTCTTCTCTTCGCCGCACGCCGGTACGCAATGATAACGGCGCTGAGAGTGATGGTCGTCGAATCAACGACGAACGGAAAGGGAAACGAACGAACGAACGAACGAACGAACGAACAAACTGACGAATAAACGAAGAAACAAAGCTCGCAAACACACGGCCAAACTCGCGCCCTCAGCGAATCACACGGTCGGCGCAGATGTCGGTCGAAGGATCGACGGTGAAACGATTATCGTCGTTCGTTCGATTGGTCCGACGAGTACGTACGCGCTTGTCTGTCCCGTTGTTGGCGGCGATATTCGGCGAACACACCCGCGTGCAGCCGAACGTTACCGTGTTCGCCGTGGTGCGATCGCGGCGATTATTGGACCGGTCGTTCGGTGGATCGCGATCCGACGATCATAGCTTCACGTTCGACGAGCCGTTGCAGTCCGCGCTGGTGATTTGTTAACGTATCGGCCTGACGGTCCGTTGTCAGTAGACCCAGGACACGGGCACCCACTGCGGTGTCGTGTGGACCCGCTCGATCGCCGCCTCCAGCTGCGCGATCGTCTCCTCGATGTCGTTGTTCACGATGGTCAGGTCGAAGAAGTGACCGTACGCCTGCTTCAGCGAGTCCGATTCTTTCGCGAGTCTCTCCAGGCTGCCGTCGCACTGAACAATTTACAACGATATCAGTCTTGTTTATTACAAATCGGAGATTATCGATATAAATACGGATTTATAAATATTACTGTAGATAATTAGATGTGATTGTTGTTTATCGAGTTATTTTATGGTTGGTGTTACTAAGAACTGAAACTTCGATTGACTTGTTTTTGCATATTATGACATCGACTTTAGTCATTTCTCAGAGAAGCTGTCATTTTAACCCTTAGCGCTCCAGATGGTTTTGTAATTTATCAGCAACTGCGACTAATTTTTATGGTATCTCCAGTGAAAATGGAAAATGCTATAACATTCCTTCGATCTTTTATTTTCGCTCTCAGCAAGAAATTTGGAGGTATGGAAAATCGAATAATTTTAGAACTATTTTATTTCGATGTTCCATGTGTTGATGCATTATATAAAAATTTAATATTGAATCCTAAATTTTATCGTTTTCATGGGTCAAATCAAATGGCGACTGAAAGCCTCTCGAGTGCAAAGGGTTAAATGCTATCTTCAAATGAAATTTCCACCTGAAGTGGAAAATTTTCTCGTATTTCTTACAAATTGTCGACAGTAAAATATTACACGAGCTCAGTAACTGAAGTAAATAGTACGCCAAGGGGTTAAACAACTTTAGTTAGTCTAATGTTCGGTGTACTTCGTTAAACAGGGAATTTCTGGTTAAGTGGAAGTGCCGAAGGTTAGTAATCTCGTCAAATGGTCGATTAATCGTTTAACCGGGCTAACCCCGTGGCGATAGTTAAGCTTCATACCCGGAAGGTTACCGTTCCGGCATTTACTTACGTCGGCCATGTTCTGGAACACCGGGGCAGCGATGAAGACAACGTAAGGCGCGAATTCCGCCGTGCGTAACACTTTCAAGGCTTGCGGCTCGACGTCCAATATGGCCACCCTCCCTTCTTCGTGAATTTTACGGATCGTCTCGAGCTTCGTTCCGTACATGGCGTCTTCGTGTGTGCCTACGCAGAAATGTACGTTCAGTGAAGAGAGTTCTCAATGAAACGTCACTTGATCCTTTCATTTACCGTATTCGAGGTATTCGTTGGCCTCTATGTCGGCCATCATCTCGTCGTGAGATACGAAATAATAATTGCGACCGTTCTCCTCGTCGTTCCGCGGAGGCCTCGTTGTATCTGAAACACAATATTTCCCTATTGTTGTCGATCGATTGCCGTGCTCGTTAATTTGAGAAAACCCCCGGGAAATTAACGCGAATGAACAATTCAATGCGCACGATAGATCGTACCGATGAAATTCGGAAAAGATTTAGTCGAGTCGCTTAAACGCCAATGCAGGTAAGTCGACTTTTTTATGTTTCCTGATTTTTGTCAATTTTAATGGAATGAATATTTTAGTTATTCGAGGATTTACTCGTTTGTTTGTTTTCTCTAGGTTAGAAACCCCTTTTCATAGCTTCCGAATATGCAGTATAATAATTTCAGAAGCCGAAACATTAATTTTCACAATGTTTGGTTTCCGAGCGTCTCAATTATAGATCAAAGATAAATATAATCTATTGTTCGTATAAAATATTTTTCTTGCTAACTATTGGTAACTTGTTCGTATAAAATATTTTTCTTGCTAACTACAGTTACAAAATTTACAAAAAAGAAACAAGTAGAAGCATGATATGTCTTACTCACGTGGAATAGGATAGGCGTATTTGTCGGGATGTTTAGCAATAATTGTATTTTTTATGTGCCGACGACCAACACCATGGGCTCCTAATAAGACTAGTGTTTTTCGCTGGAACGCAGGATCTGTCGAGAAAGATTGTAAACATTTTAGGAACAAACGATAATCAACCTAATCGTACAAGAAACTTATGCTACACTAATTAGACTGTTTCCGAAATGATTACAGAAAAAAAAGAATGTTGAACTTACAGGGCAGCTTAACGACCTCCTCGTAGGTGACTAGATCCAGCGGGTCAAACACTGCGTTGTGTTTTGCGAGATACTTATCCTTGTATTGCTTCTTTTTTCGGCCAAATATTGAGCAATTCACTGGAAACGCGAAGAATCAATTAATCTCACATTCAGACGAACGAAAACTGTCGAGACCCGCTGGAAAATATTCTCCGATAGAATAGATTCCGGCCCCCTTTGTACGCGCTTTAAATCTTCTGCAGAGTTCGTCGTTTATGCTGCATTACAGAACAACATAACTAATAAACAAACCAACAAATAACTCTTTGAGATCGTATCTCGTTCGTGAACTTTATCGGATCAATATTCATTTTTATTCCTCGAGGAACTAAGAAATGAAGTTGAATGTACAGTTTAACATCAGTATCGGTCCGAATGATTCACGTTTTCTTTGGAATATTTATAGTGCAATACACGATATCTTTAATCGAGTGTAGCAGAATTAACGAGGTAATCGTTGCGCTTCAGAGGACTGAAGTTTATTTACAGGAATATTCAACTGTAAAGAGAACAAGGTATGCAAGCTGTTTTATAACATGGGAAAAATATCGAAAGAATGGATCGATTCTTTGCTGTAGAAGTTCAAACGGCTTCTCGATTGTTTGGCCGACTCTGTCGTACATTGTATTTTGCCATTATACAGCACAGGACCAATAAATATTAGACAAACATTAAACAATCGATGAAACCACGTGGACAAACACTTGCCCGATAAGATAAGCTTCAAATCCATTCTTATTTTTCCACGAACTAACACGTTAACTACCATAGAAATTTCCAATCGCCGATGCTACTGAATCTATAATTTTGCATACACCGTAAACGAATAATCCAGGATTGTCTGAACGGTGAGAATTTCGTAGCACCGTAGGAGAATAATCGTCTCGTCTGACAGTAAACGTGTTACACAACCTGCGTATAATCAGAAAAGTCGATTAGAGTAGGCAAAGAATACATTTTCGAGGATAGAAATTATTCCGTGAACATGTACAGATGAAAATAAAACAGAAGAAGTACAATACAGTTATCTGTATATTAATTACTATGACATTCATAAACGCACGTTCCTTTAAATTCGATCAAAGTGTGACGTATGGTAGGCTTGTATTTCAAACACTCAGCAGTCGCTATGCTAGTCGGCATCCTCCTCGAAAGGTTCGTAACAGTTAGCATTTGTACGCGCAAAATAGAAGAGCTACTTCGTAGTATGTCGATCACCGTGTAAGCAGTATTCTTGTTCTAAATGGTAAAAGAGATTTCATTCAGTCAGCCAGTTTACATAGAAGCCATAACCATAAGGAGGGAAGTGGGATTCCCACTGTGAGATGGGCGTTCCAGCAGGTCACAAGATAAAAGAAGAGGACTACCGGGTAGTCTAATGCGTAGACCTTGAAAACTGGTGTCGCGATCAGAGCACGATCGTGACGTCTTTGAACGATTTTCCGTTTATAACGAGAACCGATTTCACATTTCGATCCAGTTCACATGGGACAAACTTTTAGGAAAACGGAAAGTGAGATACGAATTACTATTCAGACGATCATTGTTCTTTTCAGTTAAATGACTTATTTCACTTATCACGTGAACTCGCTCTAATAAAGAATAATTTTTCGGAAAGCAGAAAGTGAAATATAAATTACTATTCAGACGATCATTGTTCTTTTCAGTTAAATGACTTATTTCACTTATCACGTGAACTCTCGCTAATAAAGAATAATTTAACAATTTAATTTAACACGTTGAACGCCGCACGATTTCATAGAGCAGAATACATAAATTGGAGAAAATACAATATTAAATCATTTGACTGAATTGGATTATTATTATTATACGTCCATCGAACTTAATGCCACTGCAATGGATAGCATTATTTATAGTATAGAAATGTTTGTGAATGATCATGGTTTAATTGAGTGAATTATAGTACTTCGATTTGCTTGGGGGTCGCCGGCGACCCCCATGGCATTCAACGTGTTAATTTAATTTAATTTAACGCGCTGGTTAAATCTAATCTTCCGTTTATATTCTTGTCATTTGGGAATGCATCGACTGTTTATAACAGTGATTCCAAACGCTTACAATTGAAAATGTTCCTTATAGATGAACAAATATTTACAGATTCGATATTCCAGGTGAAATTTGTACGCTCGATCGGAGGTTATCGTTCAAATTTTCGTCACGATGGTGCTGTGATGATGTGCTTGCGAGTGGAATCGTGTGAAACAAGCGTAAGTGCATGAAACGTAGCGAGAGCATGCATCGAAGCACGCCGCGAGAAAACATGTTTTGTGTCGCGAAGAGTATCCTGCTGTACACAGTACAAATTAAGCAAAGAAATTCTACCGCTTCGTCAAGGTTCGTGGATATCAAGTGTTTCCTCGTTAGGCTACGAAATAGTGTATCCTGAGAATTGGCAACAGAATTGTTTCTTATTTTCAACGGTTGTGATCCTGATTACCTTTTCCTATATTCTTTAATATGCGAGAATATTATCAAAGAAACTCGTGAAAAACAAAACCGACTGAAATGGACGATTGCTTGGGAAAACGAGTAGATTCATTATGTTCTTTGATAAAATATGGGCACAACTTCATGGAAGGTATAATCCGAATGTATAATTGTAAAATTACAAAAGGGTTGTTAATATAGAAAATTTTCCATAGGAAGTTTGCAATTAACAATTGGTATATTTTTCTTTTATACGCTGATACATTGAAAGGGGTATGAACGAAATAAAAAATGGCTCGTTGAAATTGTACCCACGTACTGTGAATCGATTTGCGCTTTAATGTAATCAACTACTGGATGAGAATGCTCGCCAATCGTTTCATTGGCAATTAGCAGAATATTTCACCAACACGACTGTCAAATCTATGGGGATCTCTAATATCATAGGACACTAATGTTACCAAGGTATGTACACTGTCTAGTAATGTAAATTCTAGTTTAGTGTGGAAATTATACCGTAACTCCGACTCGTACTAATCGTAACTGTGAAATCCGGGAAACCTCGTTCTATGCGGTGTGTTATATGTAAGAAGCCAATATTTGCGCGGAATGATCGACAAGAAACAATACAATGACACCCCCACAGTTGTACGCAATTCTAGAACAGCGGCGAGCGTTTTATAGGTCTAACCGATTTCCAGGCACTTCGAATTATCATCTGCACATTATTATGCAAAAATTCTTATCAATGATAATTACGTAGAATATACAGAGAGGTCTGTAAGAATCGTCAAATATTTTTATCGAAGAAATTTTTGTAAGATTAATACGTTTGAATCACTTAATGTTTCGATTTCGACCTTAACAGCAAAGTTTTATGAATAAATTTGAAACAATTTGGTAACGATGAACTTTCATTTGTGATTGATCGGAGACATTCTGTATATAAGCACTTTTCCCTCGTTAAAGTCGCGTGGGTTGGGAGATTAACACTAGAATTACCGAGCATTTAGTACGATTAATACGCAATTCCCATAAAAATTGTAACAATAAATTATTTTCAGTTTCTTCAGACATTCATTATAGTATTCAAATGAAACTATTTATTTTGAAAATCGTTTCGAATATTCAATGCTTCGAAGATATCAATAATTGCTGAACAAACAAATCGAAACCATTTTGACTGTTATAGTAGTTCTAGTGTTAACATCGACGAGGAGGCGAAGAATTCTTTAACGAAGCTTCGATATTACTGCAGTAATTAGTCTTCATAAATTTTCCAAAGATTTTTTGTCAATTTAAAAAAATTATTCTCCACGAAGTGGAATTATTTTGCAGAGGATTTCAATCAATCGAAATTTTTTACCCAAAAGAAAGCATTGACAAGACAATAATAGAACAAGCAACATTGCGACCTTTTCTCGTTACCACTCCAATCTTTAACCCTTTGAACTCTGTAGGCTCCAATATTGCACCAGTTATAATATTCAATATTTTACTGAATTAAAGAATCTACCCTAATATTATTAGATTTTTATTAAAAGATCGAAGGTATGTTATAGCATTTTTCATTTTCACTAGAGATACCATAAAAATTGCAGTTGCTGACAGATTACAAAACCATCTGTAGCGCTAAGGGTTAAAACCCAAGAATAATGAAGACACAAACGCGGCGCTAAAAGGTTCGCCGAAGCGCGACATTAACGAGGGAAAACCGTACTCCCGAAAATATCGGAACATCTCTGAACGAGTAATTATAATAATTATAAATCCGAGACGCGTACAATTCTAGGGAAGCGTCAGTGCATTCGAAACGTCTTATGCCAAGTCCAGGTGATTCGTGACGATGAAGTGCATTGAATGATTTCACGCTGCTGGAATGTCTTTGGTTTGTCGTATGCTCATTATCGTGAAATCGCCGTTAATTCGATTTAATTGGTCGATCGATTTTTGTCTCGGTTGACTCACAATTCTCGCGTTTTTTCTTTTAGTTTGTTCCATTTTTTTTTATCTGTTTTTCTTTTTCTTTTCAAATGATTGTAATGGCACCAAGTCGTTCCTGTATTACATAGTTTCTACTAGTAAAGCGTTCCTCGGAACTCCCGTCAAATCAATGCGTGCATTGGAAGCACGGAACGAGTATATTTTGTTACTTCATGCGGACTACACGGTTCTACGTGACTCTACGCACTGTATACCTGAAGGCAGAGTCATACCTGTCGAACCGTCGCAGCCTTCGGTGTGAGAAGAACATCCTCCTTCTCCTTCAGCATCTAGCCCCGCACAACACACAACAACAAGTGTATCACTGCAGCTAATTATTCAATCCTCGGGCTAACGTACTGTTTCTTTTTTATTTTTTTTTCTTTTGCTACGTTCGAACGCTACGTCTCCGTGCTCGCGCGAAACGCGATACCATTCTCTATGTCTTAATCTTAACAGCGACTTTTCACTAAGAATTTCTAATCACAGAAACATGTATTCTTCCTTTTGAAGTCTCTCATTACGTACGATATGTGGTTATCGATCGTCGATGACTATTGGGCATGACAGGACCGTCGACGTGAGATTTTGTGATTGGAGAACTGAATAGGGAAACGAACTGGTAACTGGTGTTAACTTATATTGGGAAACCTGCATTGGTTCCAGAATATAGGTGTCTTTTGACATTTTCTTGTTAAAAATAGATCACTGTACACTACAGGCTACAGGTTACGCTAAAACTACCAGACGTCAAATGACTCATGCCTGATGTCTTTTCGCAATTATTAGAAAGACAAATGTTCCTCTGAGAAATTATTAAAAGAATTCATTTAGCACTACGCAAATTGAATGGTAAATCGATTAAAGTCTGAATTTTGCAATTATTAGAAAGACAAATGTTTCTCTGAGAAGTTATTAAAAGAATTCATTTAGCTTACGCAAATTGAATCAATTAAAGTCTGAACAGATGCACTCTTGGGGTTTCTATAGCGAAATTTTCAAAAGTCAATTGAAGAGCTTGGTAGCTTTAGTGTTAAGGATGTTATTTTTAATTTCATAGTTAATTATATGAATAGTTTCAATTATACTACGGTTGTTCAATAATTATTAACAGAAGTTCATTTTCCGACGTTGAATCTGTGAAATCTCGCTACCGTAGTCGGTAGTGTAATTTCGTTCAAGAAATTTCACCTCGATGAGCAAAGAACAGGAACAAATTGTTACACGAATATGGTTTCACGGGATACTACGTGCAGACAGGAAGTCGAATCGATTTTCAATCGAGACTTCATTACTGCGTTCCCATTAATTCGTGCTGGTCCGTTTCGAGAAAAAGAGAAAACTACAGCGTCGTTCGCATGATTCTCGCGCTGCACGGTAAAAATGACTGACATCAAACGATACTACATGCTCCATTGACAACCTGGGCGCAGCTAATCACACATACATGGCATCGTGTTCACCAGCACATTCGTTTCATCACAGTGGCGAGAATAGTGGAGATAAATCGAACAATTAAACGTGATAGGTCTGAGAATGGATCGATAAGGCAATGGTAAAAACGCGGCGTAATAACTTCATTTTCGTCTGAGTATCAGATAAAATGCGATCTGCTGGAACCTATGGTTAACCCTAAGGCTATTCGATATTCTGCTACGAATCAAAGGAAAACACTCTTGCCCGGTACACTGTCATCGTAAAGATCACCGTTAACGCTAGGTTTACGGAACGCGCCAATTTCACGCGGATTGAATTTTATACACATTATTTGCTAAATGTTTCAATCGGTTTTCGTTGATTCGATATTTCTACATCTACAATTTCTAAGATCTAAATGAACGAATACTTCCCCAGGAACAATAGAATAAACTGTACAATAAATGCCAGTAAACCTAGTGTTAATATTCCGTAGATTATTTTCAGTGGTCACAAACGCGAGTTAATTACTTCGAAACTGTATGCATTTTCACAGTAAAAATATATCCCTCTATCTCACACGTTCACTTCTCCACTTAAACATTAACCCTTTGCGATCGTACGCTCAGACTGGACATTCAATTCTATTCCAATATATACTTGAAGTCTCAACAATTTCTTTAGAATTATTTCTAATATCATAATTATGTCGTATGAAAGTCAGTTCACTGTCCAAATCTTCACAAAATAAATGATTAGTCATATTAACACTTAGCCAATCGAATGGGGACATCTCCCACTTTTCACTTAGCAACGTATTGCCTTTTATTCTCCTTATTTTTCCTTTTGTCGTTTAGCAAGTCTTGAAACGAGATTATTTGCAATTCATCAGATACGGTTCTTCTCTTACAAAACAAAGTTTTTAAAATTCATTGAATGAGTTCAATTGAAGATAAAAGAGGAGGTTGCAGTTATAGTTCTTTTTAGTCGCCTAAGTGTACACTAAAACTACCAGAGGGCCAAATGACCCTTCTTCTTGCAATTATTAGAAAGGTAACGAACGTTTCTCCGAGAAATTATTAAAAGAATTCATTCAGCATTACGCAAATTGAATGGTAAATCGATTAAAGTCTGAATTTTGCAATTATTAGGAAGGTAACGAACGTTTCTTCAAGAAATTATTAAAAAAATTCATTTAACACGCAAATTGAATTGTACCTCAATTACCGAACAGATGCACTCTGCGAAATTTTCAAAAATCGAAGTGCTCAGTAGTTTTAGTGTCAACAGATCATCGAACCTTAGACGCAAACTTGGAAACCCAAGAGTACTCCGACCCGCAAAGGGTTAAACATCCTCAGAGCAGAAACCATTAAAAACCGAAGGACTTCGACGAATTTTCTAACGTCCAATGTTCACGCAACATCCTGCAGTTCCGTGAACGCCGGAATCGGAACCACGAACAGCATCTCCGAAAGACGAAGCCTCGTTTCGGAGACCGCACAACCGTTCCCCCCTAGAAAGAAACGTGTATCGACGACGAACGCTCCTCGCTGCTCCCTTAACGACGGCCAGGGCGCTCGAGAAAAGGGGGGAAGCTCGGGCCCGCGCGACGTTTAAGTTTTACCTTGTTCTTGTTTGTTCTTCTCCATCGCCATGTAGGCGATGCGCCGTTCCTGGAGCTCAGGCGAAGGTATCAGGCCCGCGGAACCCGCCGCGTTGTCCTTCTGCGCCTGCCACCAGTAATGGTCGTCCTTGCTGATGATCTGCAGGATGTCGCCGGTCTTGAACGCGATCCCGGCCTGCGCGCACGGGATCAGCTCGTCCTCCAGCGGGTCGTAATCGAATTGCGCCCGAACGAAAATCTGTTGGCGCAGAAAAAGCCTGTTGTAGTCGGGCCATGCACGCCGAGCGTCTTTCTCGGATGATTCGCTAAACACAGGGTGTTCCTCGAATCGCAGTGCGATCGAGATGGATCTACACGAGAGAAGTCAGTCGGAAAGATGAAATCGGATTTTCTTGTACTAGACTTGGAGCTCGGGAAACGTGTTGTATTGGATGATTAGCATGCGCACTCGAAGAACGTGATCGTCTCGGAATCGATATACGAGAAAATGTTAATTTTTGATTTTCTACTCAGTTCTTTCGTGTAGAATGATTCCCTCTCGTTGTACTGTGATCTCGGGAACACCATGTATATTAGTGACTCTGTATATATGTATCGGCGAGATGACATCAAAGAATCTTGTTACATTTGTTCGGAAAATATCGGTACGGGGACGTAAACTAAAACAAGAATGTTAACAGTGCAGAAAATCGGTTTCGTTATGCTACTGCGATATTGCAGGTTGGAGTCGGGGATGGGTGGCGGGGCGGTGGCGGCGGAAGATTCACAATTTCTCACTCGGATCACCGGAACGATTTAGGTTAATAGAGAATCACATTAAAGATAATTACTTGTTGCCCTAAAATGTGGGCGGCACGGGCTCGTTCTATCGTGGCATCGATCGCCTATTGATGCTACTTACACCGGGGCTAGGCTAGCTATTTGGCGGATGAACTCGGTCATGGCGAATGAAGCTGAAGATGCGACGTATGTGCAAGCGTTAGGCGATAGTTACTTGCAAAGAGCCGCGTTGAAACATGCTCCTCTAACGAACGGAAACCTCGGCCTCGGTGGAAAGTCTCGATCGGAGAATGAGTACGTTCTCGCCTCTTGTCCTTTAACCCTTTGCACTCGAGCATCAAAGATCACATGCAAATCGAAACCATTGTATTTCAACGTGTCACGTATTTGTATGAATTATTATTAATACTTCGTACAGTATAATGTTGCAGCATCGAACCAAGTTGAAAGCGACTGACGATTGAGAAATGGCGTCTCTCGAGTGCAACGAGTTCATTGCGACAGAGATATATTTATTCGTATAATTTATATTCGATTATGAAATTCATTGAATCAATGTTCCAATTATTGTATTGCTAAATTTATCGAATTTCCGTCGTCGGTTCGAACGTCAATCAGCGATCGATGCGTAGCACGATTTCGCCGCACCGTCGAAGCACAGTCGAAACACTTTACGAAAGAGGGTAACTAGGAAAGTAGCTTCGGTTAAATTATATTAGTACAATTCCAGTTTAGTCATTTACATGTTCCTGACTTTGGCAATGTATTCCGCGAGCGGTATCGAATGAATTTGGAAGCGATCGTTCAACGCGATCGATCGTTTGGAAAGATGATCCAGAAATGCTGTGTCGCGTGCGTGATATTTGTTTGATGGAAGTAATATTCGCGTGATCATTAGACTGCAGACGTTCCCGTGATTTACAGTCGTCGGAAATCAATTTCCGAACGGAAACTTGCTTTTCATATGTAAATATCCGAAAGACAACCGAAGCGTCCAGTCGACTGATTCCTGCTTTTCGCAATTTTTATCTCGCGTTCGCGCAACGTCGATTTACCAACGGGCAGACTAATGTAAATAATCCGCGAATATTCTGATCAATGTAAATAATGATATTAGTTGTGTAAATTGTCCGAATCGCGCCCGAGCTTCCATCGACGCGGATTAAAGAGATGAGTATTTATTATTTATATGCCATTTCGTTTTCTTTTTTTTCTTTCTATTTTCCCCCGTGGAATATATTGCCACAGCATAACATCCTATACATCAGTTTTTCAATGGTTCCACGGGAATTTGCATTACAAGGAGCGTACTTTTATTGTCAAACGTTTTAATACAAGCGACAGCGCGTGGAAACGGTGGATTCAGAGTTAAAGGGTCACCGATTTGCAGGGGGAGGGGGGATGATCGCAGTAAATTCCACCTTCGCATATTCGATCATTAAAGGGGAAACGTGATTGGGTCTCCGTTCGTAAAGCGTTAGCTCCGTTAGATCACACTTCGAACAATTCAGGCGAAAAGATATGCTGTGAATCGCTGGTTTCCAAACGAATCGTGTTTTTTTTCCCTCGGTTCTCGCGAGTGATCGGGTTAAAAGAGAGAGAAAGAGAGAGAGATAGATAGAGATAGATAGAGAGAGGTAGAGGACATCATTCCTGTGGTAACATACACGTTCGTACATAAATCGAATTAGATCGTTCAATCACATTAACGGAACGAAGTTCACGGGACGAAAGTGACGTGGTTCCGTTGCAGTGCCGGGGAAAACTTGAAATAGGCTTGAAAGTATTAGTAAATCCAATTACCACAAATTCACACTTTTCATTCATAGTTCGTTAATGTATGATAACAGAAAAAAGATAAGAAATTTCTCATCGTCAAGTCACAATTCGATCGAACTCGGGTTAAAGTCTACTCTATGAGATACGACAGAAATTAGGCTACAAAGCTCAAAATGCAAATGCTTCGTAACGTTCGCTTGTCGGAAACAATTTACTCGAACGCGAACAAACTTTACTTACGTAATTTATCATGTAACAACGTATCCTTCGGTTTAAGGTGTTTTTTTTGTTTTTTATCTATTCGCCTATTTTGAATGTCTGTTTCCCCCAGCGCCGTCCCGTCGTCCTAATTGGAAACCATTGCGACGATCATTTCACCTAGCGATGCACGTACATAACACGACGTACTTCGTCGCCTCTCGGTTATACAGATATACATATGTTCGTTCAAGAATAAGCTGAAGCACTGGATGCTGCACAGTACGTAAACACAGCGGACTGAACACACGCACGCAACATACGCACACGGACACGCTTGAAAAAAGGCGCGATATGCAGTTTTATTGCATTCGGGCTCTACGTTTAAGTGTGCGGATAACAAACGGCATACGATGGAAATATCGGCTCGAACGGAAAGTTCGTGGGTCTTTGTTCTGCGCGAGCACCGTTGAGTCGCCGCTTTCGAACAGAAAATGATTCGTTCGTTTAGAGAAACCAAGTTGTCGTCTAACGTTTTCAAAAATCTCTAGAAAGCTCTTCGAGCCACTTTTTACGCCGTTCGAATCTTCCGAGTGTTTTCTATATACACTGCATTTAACCCTTTGCACTCCGAAGTTTTGCACTAGAAATATTTCAATATTTTCTGATGAGAAGATATTTTGTAAAACCCACTCGACGAGAAATTCACGTGAATTGGCGGACGAAGCAATTTTACGTCGATATTTCTCAGATTGATGCATTATCGTCACCAAGCTCATGTACCACTTTACTATCGACAATTTGGAAAAAATGGAACAAAACTGTCCATTCTACTTCAAGTGGAAGTTTCATTCGAAGACAATACAATGATAACAGCAAAATAGTTGTTTCCTTCGATCCTTGGCTAATGAATAACATCGATTGTCGTTAACCCTTCGCACTCGACAATAGTTTTCCTTACAAGCATTCACTATTTTCTGACGAAATATTAACAATATTATTTGCAACTTACATAAAGAAACATCTTGCATAAATTATGGGGCAGAGTTGTTCTGTTTCCATGTTTCATTTGTTAATAACTGATTCAACATTTTATATTGAATTTTTCAGTTTACAATTTTGTTGCTTTCAATCGAATGGCGGCTGAGAGTCGCCCCTCGAGTGCAAAGGGTTAAATTGGTTTAGAAATCTTCATCGCGAGTCTCACTCGTCATTGTACGGTAAGCGTTTAATGGCGACAGAATGCAGATGTGTCTCGTCAGAAACGCACGAACTTTCCGTTGAACCTGATAGAATAAATGATGCACAGTGACGACAGAAAAGTGCCGGCGCGACTCGTCCGCGACGGGAACGAGCCGGCGTAACCCGGTAATGAGTTCAAAGGGGGGATCAGTGATCATGTGGTGGATGAGATTTTTGTGTTACAAATGAAAAATCCAGTGCTGCACGAACACCGCTCTCGACGTTTCTTCCGTCTCGCTCGGCGGACGTGATCGGCCGCTGATACGCGGGAAACGCGTTCGCCATTGTTGCGCGCGCCGCGTCGGTTCGTTCGTCTTTTGGAAATCACAGGCGGCGTTGTGTGCTCCCGGTAACGGCAAAGCGACTAATAACGATTCGTCTAAACGCTAATTGAACCGGTCTATCTGATATGCGGGCGGCTGGCGAGAAAGTCTGTTAGTTCTTCGAGGTTCGATCGCTCGAAGCTGTGCGACGAGATGACGCGATGCGACGGAAAGTGAATATTACATTAACCCTTTGCCCTGCGATTTACTTCTCAACTGTGACTATTTTACCATTAATCATTTATTGAAACAAGAGAGATTCTAGGCAAGTTCTGTGTCTACGTTTGCTCTTGATTATAATCATTGATAACAGGAATATTTCATTGGAATTGAAAAGTGTTGAGTAATATTTACTAACACTAGAACTACCTAGCATTTAATACGATTGATAATCTATAAAAATTGTAATAATAGATTATTTTCAGTTTCTTTGGATATTCATTATACTCAAGTGAAACTATTTTATTATTTCAGATATTCAATGCTTTTAAGGTATTAATAGAAACATAAATCGAAACGTCATTTTGGTACGGTAGTTCTAGTGTTAAATTTTGTTTGAAATCTCCTAGTCCGACGCGTCATTATAAGGCAAGGGGTTAATTACGAGTGAGTTTCGTGTGTTGTTGGAGGCCCAGAGGATTCGAGACGTGTAAGGTGATTGGTCACTGAACAGAGTATCTGTATAGAGTACGAGAATTCGCATTGGGAGTGAAAAACTGTCAACGATGAATATCGCGAGAATCGTCGGCTCGAGATTTCAGACGCGACGGATAAACTTCGCGCGGCAATATAAAAATGGAATCGAATTTCCCGTCGAGCGGAATATAATATTCCTCCAAGTAATCCGACGCGCCTCTTCGACGTCAGAGGAAAACTCAGGAAAGCATGAACTGAATTGTTCGATCGGATTTCATCGTGCTACGACTAAGATCGACAGAAACGAAGTATAACATTCTCTAGTTCGAATCGACGAAAGCAAAATCGTACAAAGAAAGCATAAGTCTAACTCTAAAGGTTCATCAGCGCAAAATAAAGACTTTCTCACCGCCCGAGAGTGACTACGAATCCGAATAAAATAAATTCGGCGACCACAAGAAGAAACGATAAATAAGTGAACGTAACGACGATATCGATGAAGTCAGAGTAAATGAAAGGAGACTGACATATTCGCACAGGTCTTCGCGCTGATCAGCCTCGGCCACTTAATCGCTCCTCGCACGAGGCTCGCGCTGCGTGCGATCGTTGCACGATCGACAGCGAAACTGTGCAAAACTCCCGGCGAGCGTCGCGGTTCGACACCTCCGTCGAATCGGCAGTGAAGGAAGGGCTCTTGTGCGTCTAGCACTCTAAGTGCTAACAGATAGACAGAGAGACAGAAAGAAAGAGAAAGAGTGTCAGCGATGGGGCTTGTATTTCCCGTGAAATGGAGCTTATGTCGCTGTTCTCGCGTTCGGAGTTCTAGTAACCCGGCGGAGTGTGGGCGAAACCAAGGAAAAAACGGAGGAGACGGGGAATGATGGTCAAGTGGGAGGCCTACTTTAATCTGCAACATGGTGGCGTGTGGTGGTCGAATGATCGGGTGGCAACTTGAGTCTGGGTAGCGATAGATCCGTGAAGGTGCACGGGAAAGAGAAATAGCGTTAAGTAGATTAAATCTGGAAATCGTATTCCTGATGGGAATCAATTTAGATCGGCAATGATCGGTTTCAATTGGACGCGTTGCATCCTGAGTATGCGATCGAGAACCGTTTCACCCAGACTCAGGCTGCGCATTATGGACAATATGGCCGTGTATGTTGAAAAAACGTAACGTATGTGGTGGATAATATATGTGTGTATATGTATGATAAACGCATAGCCTTCTAACTACAGCAGTCCAATCACACCAGATCAAGTGGCGGTACTTACTAACACTGGCAGAGGCTTAATCCTGAACAACTAGAGCGTTGAAAAAACAGAAAAAAGGAAGATCGATTAATTAACATGTTCATCAACTTGATCTCAGACGAGATGTTCGAACTCTACGTTTTTCTTTTCAATCCTTTACTTTTCTTTTCTTTTTTTTTGCTTCCCCTCTCCTTCTTTTTTTCTTTTCCTTTTCTTTTCTTTTCTCTTCTTTGTTCGATAAAGAAATCAACGATAAAAGAACACCTACGTTGGGACGTCGCGCGCGTCAACGCTTCCGAGACTCACGGTGCGCATTGCTGTGACACAGGCAGCCTCCTTTTTCTACCCTCTCCTTTCGAGCTCGTCGAGCTGTAATAGTTTCGCACCACCCGAAACAGAGCCGATTCTACGGGTAAAGGCACGCGAATCGAGCTCGTGGCTTCGCGACGGCTAGAACATCGGCGAGCTGCGGATTTTCTTTTTTTTCTTTTCTTTTTTCTTTTTTTTAGGGACGACCGGGACACGCGATGTCCTAGTACTCGATTACGCAGGAGACATCGATCGATTAGCTCTGTTCGTCGGTCGAACAGACCGGATGAAAAACACGGTGCAAGGGACGTGATCGCAGAGACGACGACGACGAGATGCGTAAACGGTGCGGGGGATGCAAACCGATCGATTATGCAGAGTGGACACGACATCGATATATGGAACACATAGAATCGACTTTGATCCAATGAGAGGGAAACGAACGGGGAGAAAACGAAAGGAAAAGAAAATTATGGCCAAACGATGTCCGTTCTATCGTCAACACAAGCAACGTCGGGCAACGTCACAGTGTACTCACGTTCGGAGCGACTACAGCATTAGCCCTTTGCAGTCCTACGTCGAGATAGACTTGACGTTTCGTTTACTCGAACAGTCAAGTGGTTGATGAATATATATAATATGATGTAACACTAGAACTACCGAGCATTTAATACGATTCATATGCGATTCCCATAAAAATTGTAACAATTATTTTTGGTTTCTTCAGACATTCATTATAGTAAACTATTTATTTTGAAAATCATTTCGAATATTCAATGCTTCGAAGATATCAATAATTGCTAAAAAATCGAAAACAGTTATTCTGACTGCTACGTAGTTCTAGTGTTAGAAAACATTCGGAGAACATAGCATAGTTAGAGTTTGAAATAGTGAAATATTTAGAATGCATAAAATCTCCTTCAACACTAGAACTATCGAGCATTTAATATGATTAATATGCGATTCCCATAAAGATTGTAATAATAGATTATTTTCAGTTTCTTCAAATATTCATTATAGTACTTAAATGAAACTATTTTCAAAATCATTTCGAATATTCAATGCTTCGAATATTCAATTGCTGAACAAACAAATCGAAAACATATTGACTGGTACGGTAGTTCTAGTGATAAGAGCGATTTCAGTGATTCACAAAGGTCCTCGAATAATCGATTGAAGCGTTACGTTGAACTATACTTGACTTAAGGAACTTAATGAAGTTCCACAGTGAAAAACTAAGAACTTTTCGGACCGCAAAGGGTTAGGCGGGCTGGTTCACAGTTCCTACGAGCTGCGTCTTCGCGCGGACTTTCGGATCGTTACAATGCGGTCTGCCAAATTATACAGAGTCAAACTTCGAACGGTCTCTGCCATTCACGTGGGTACGGTAACTCACGAATTTGGCCGTGAAAAGTCATCTCTCGTCATTATACGTGACTTCGTGTTAAAATCAACCCCTTGCATTCGAAAATTCCATTTTTCTCCATCAGATACCAGGTGCTCGAAGCAATTTTCATGGAGAATTATATATTACAGAATTTTTGTGAAAATGGAAGCGCGAGATGATTATGTGTTTTTATTTCGAAAAACTGCAAACTTCTTTACGTTGCGATAATAATTCAGTAATGGGGTCCTCAAGTTTGAAAATATACTTTAAATGGCTCCGTGACGGAGCCCTCGAATGCAAAGGGTAAAGAATAATATTTAGCAGAAGAATGCGATCAATCGTATACAGGGTGTGTCCGAAATCGTGGAATAATCAGGAAGGCAGAAAATCTACATATAAAAACAAATCGGGAACGTGGAATAAAATATTCAATTCCTTATCGATTAGATGAATTATTAAAATAATCAAATATTCATTTTCAACTTCGCAGACTTCATTTCTGAGATAATTGTCACCGAAAATTTATCCAACATGTACGTTCATAAGTAGAAATGCCAAATCATAGACATTAACCGATTTTTGAATATGCACGCTCGATTTCAAACGCGATTATCTCAAAAGCAAAGCACCGTATCTAATACCTTCGACAAATGATTACTAAAAAATTATTCAATATCTTTAACTCTGCCTCGCATAGAATTCTCCCAATTCCACAACTTCAGAAACACTCCGTATCCTCGGAAAATCCCGATCAAACGCGTGAGTCACTGCAGTCACTTCTGGAGAAGTGGAAGAAACACCGGACGGTAAGCTGGCGTGCAGCGGTTAACACTAGAACCACCAAACAGATCAAAACGACCCATTCCTCGCCTCGCCTCTCAAAATTACAAAGCGGCTTTCGCGAGAGGTAACAAATTCGTATACTGTTGCAGGTGCGAGAGTCGCTGCAAACGTCGGGAAACGTGTTCATCTAATTTTTCCCCGAGATGCTAAACAAGTCGCTGTAACCGCTCGGCAGTTGTAGCGTTAACGGTGAAACGTGAACGGACACTTGTCCGGCTCGGTTCCCGACGACCAGTTTCGCGATAACGTCCATCCGCGTGCGTACCCGTCGCGAAGCGTTTTACCGTTTCACGTGAAACTGGTCCGTCGAGGAGTTCGATCGGGAGATTGGGATCTTTTCGGGGGCGCAGGCCGCACTGCAAACGAAGTCGCCGCGAGTTGCTTCGTCCCGGTTTCTCAACGTGAAGGGGAGCGCGGTGCGGATCGGGAACGATCGAGTTGGCTCCCCGCGTGCGTCGGAAGCCGCCTTATCCGCCTCGTCGGGCGGAGGGCTGAACGGGGGGTGGAGAACGCAGGTCGGGAAGGTGGACGAGGTGCACGAGTAACGGGGATGCGCTCGGGGACAGAGGTCGTGTCTACACAGTGACGTTAGCAGGTACTGCTACTATCGACAACTCGTCTGGTGGACTGACTGCTGCTCACGCTGCTGGGTTCCCTGCTCTCGAATTCCTTCGGGCCTGCACTCTACCATCGAATGTCGGACTGAGGAGGTATCCTGTTATGGGTTGCGGAGTGGCGGAGGGCAGAACACGCGCACAGAATTTGCGCCCGGAGGATCGGCGCGCGTCCCTCGCGGCCCGGATCCCGCGGACGCGGATTCCACTCGGCGACGCGAAAATGGAAAAACAGAGGAGCACGGGTTTAACAAATCCGCCGGTATGATCGATCGGTCCCATCGACGCTGACGAGGGAACCTGGTACCGAACGTCAATGGGACCCATCGGTTTATTTGTTAGAGGAACGCGTGACAGTTAGCGCTCAAAGTTTCCGCGTCGAGTGCGCGTGGAGCCGACGAATGTGTCACGCGTTGTTTAGCGTTGGAATTATTCCATGGACTTTCCATTTTCGGGTCGGCGAATTCATGTCGATCGTTTCTGGGTGGTCGGAACGATCGTGGAGAACTGGCCAAAGAACATAGAGATACATATACATGACGATTACGTTCGTCGCAGGATGGACCAATAATGTTGATTACTTGGGATATCTTCAGTGAGGACACGGATAAACTTTATTTACAGGTCACGTGCTACCGAGGGGCTGAACATTCTTGTGATCGTTTTGCTTTTTTGTTAACGATATGCTTGTTCTTGAAGTGAGAATCGTAGCGTAGGCGATGAGTAGGCTGCGGATTTTTATGCATGTTCGAAAGTGCAGATTTTGCATGGAATGCACGTAATACTGAGAGTATAGTATTTTATTATAATTCTTAGGACAATTTCCTACGATAATTGTGTCTTTCCGATCATATTCTGGAAAATGCTGATTTGCATAAAGATCCTCGATCTACCAGCTCGACACGAATGAACAGCGCTTCGATTTCCTAGCAAACTGAGAACCACCGTCACCCATCTTCATTTATGCTTGAATTAAATCCAAATCGTGATCCCCGTTTTACCAAGGAACGAATAGAAGCTGAAGCGCACGATTTAAGAGAACAAAAGCAACCGCTTCGAATCCCGGAGAACCCCTCTACCCGTCGAAATATCGCCGCCGCAGCGTTATAGCCCTCCGCAAATAAAATTTATTCGTATCACCGGAAGCATCCCGGGCAATCAAAGTTATTGCTCCGTTCTGCCGGGTATATAACATGTGTAGGATTCGGTGCTTCACAAAGGACGATCCTGTGCTGGGGGCGTCGAACGGTCGTCGAAGAGTTTACGGCGCGACGCTGCAGTCGCCGCGAGAAGTTCGAACCGATTTTTGATCGTACAGAAACGAAAGAAAAAAAAGAAAAAAAAGTGAAACGATAGGAAAAAAGAACGACAGAGCGATCGACTTGCGAGAGGAACAGGTTCGATCGACGGCGGTCGATGTCTTCTTCTCGAACAGGCCGCGTGGACGTTGATCAAGGCAAGGTACGTGCGTGAACGTGAAATCGGAACGGAAGCCGGCTGTGTCGGCCATTTTCTACGGCGAACGGAGAAGAAGAGAGGCCACGTTGGAGGATGTGCGACGGATCATGGTGTTTCCAGCAGTTCGTGCTTTATTATATCTTCGGTACAATGTGCCGACACAATTAACACCGCCCTCGCTTCGTGTTTCATGGTTCTCGTTGTGACCGCCGGCGACATCTTTTGCGTTCGCGTGCGACGTTATACACACGCAGCA